TCAAGTAATTATAAGTATTTATTCCTACACTTGAAGATGGTTTGATTTCTACATCCCCACTATGGTTTCCATGTCAAATCTGATGGGTTGTGCCCGACTTGGGCTCATTATGGGCCTAAGCTTAACAAGTCCCAAGAAAATAAAGTGTAGTTTTTGCCCTTGAAAAAAAAGAAGAAGATGCTCAAATACTTCCTCAGTTTAATTATGAGCACAAAATCGTAAGTGGCCATTTATCATAACGATGAAATGGAGTTGAGTATTTGTATGATGACTTGGGTTTGAATTTTATCAGTGGCTAATCTAACAAAATCTATCGTTTGACAAAAAAAAAAAAATTATGAGCACAAAATCTACAACGTTATAGCCTAGTGGGATTTGCCTACGTGGTATAAGCAGTGTTTAAAATTTCTTTGATATGATCCTTTACATGAAATTATTCAAAAAATCAAAGATAGATATAGAATGTGGGTGAAGTCTAAACTTCACCTTATATCGGATAAATTCTTAAGTTTAGGCTAAAATCGACATATATTGTTGATATCTCTGACACATCTGTTAAATATCGGAGAAACTCTTATATTTCGTCCAAACCAATCTTTGACAATCCCTAAAGTTTCATTTTAACTTTCCATTATTTCCATCGAAAGTAACCGATATTGATATTGATGTTCGCTATATCTATCGATATTTCTATAAATTTGCATATTGATATATTCACTGATATTAATATTGATATTCGATATTCGATATATCCATCGATATTTCCATAAATTTACATATCGATATTTTAAACGTTGGGTATAATTAAATTAATCGTCAAGTGAAGAGGTTCACGCTGAATACTTCTTTGACAATTAAATGGGAATGATGGTGCAATTTCCTAAATGCAAAACAAAGGCCACTAGTAGCTCAAAGTTGCTTACTTTTTCTGGAAAATAACAATTAAAAAAAGGCAATTGGCTAAGATGATGAAAAATTAAATTTTAATTGTCAAAATGGTTAGGTGTCTTTATACACAATTTATATCACCTTCATAGACTCACCACCCATCATTTTTTTTTAAGTTAAAAGTTCAGCACTTTGATTTATAGAATCCTTAGAACAGCCAATCTGCCTAAAGAAAAAAAGATCTGCTAGATTTTCAAATTGTCCTCATTTGCATGAATTGTTCATCATGGATTCATAGAAAGAAAAAAAACTACAAAAGATATTGGCACTTAGCTGGTAACTATTCTACTTTATCCTTTGTTTTGATATTTGGCCATTGTAGATGTCTAGATTAATTACTAAAAAGTAAAAACTAGTCATCATGGATTGCCCTAATTTTGTGCCCAATGTATGACTCATCGGCTTGCTCGTTTTGGTTTGTCTAATATTTTAATTTGTTTAGTTTGAAGTGCCTTCTGAATTTATCAGGACGTTCTTATTAGCGAATGCTTCCAGCCATATATATATATATATATATATATATATATATATATATATATATCTGTCTTTCAGTTGTTTTCTAATTTCATTATCTAAATAAAGTTTTTTCCCGTACCGTGAACGCTAAAAAGATAAACTAAGTGACATGCCTCTTTTGATTTTTTTTTTATCTGCGGAAAACTAGAGTGGCAGACAAGCAATGATACTTTATATACATAATGTTACACATGATGTCCATTAATTCTTCTAAACCAATGTATAGGTTTCACGTGATGTTCTATCTTCTTCTTCTACTACATATGCTTTGCTGGTCAAAAACGTTTTCCAGGAATAACTATATATAATTGGGGTTTTATATTATATAGAGAACCCAGAAGCCATGCATAACATGCTAACAAAATTTAAGAAAGTCCATACATATGACCTGGATACCCACCTACAGCCTGTACTCTTGGCTCTTAATTTGTGACTGCAAATTAAATTATTTCAAATAAAAACAAAAATTTAGACTTAAATTTCAAGTCTATATACTCAAACATGATGTATACGGTTGATTTTTGGAATTACATACAACTAATTTACTAAAGTTCTGATATATTATTTTAGTCAAAATGATTTTAATTATATGAAGAAACAGTTTCCAAGAAAAAAAAAATTATATGAAGAATCAACTAAATTTCCACTTTCCAATGTCAATGTATTTGGAAAAAATTATGTGAAGAAACAACTAAATTTCCATTTTCCAATGTCAATATACAATCAATGCCCCATCATTGTACACCATTTTATCTGCGTTACCAAGATATGAGAAACCTCGCCCGTACGGGGAAGCTTTATTACTTTCGGTGCTTAAATTAAAGAAAGCATAAAGTCTGACTTTGACACCACTCATTATCTAAAAGAGCGTCTTGAATAATATTAAGACTATAAAACTATTCAGGAATATAAAATTTGATCTCCCTAATGCACAACAACATTTATTATCTAAAAGGTAATGTTAGCGAGATCAAAATTTTGAACTAAATTTGCAAACAAAATAATGCGTCACTAATATGAAATAAGTACTTAATCAACGCTTAAATAATAATCAAATCATCAACTACCACATCATTTGGTTTGCAAATATTTTTAAAAATTTTGATCTCTAATATTATCCTTATCTAAAAGAGCATCCTAAATATATCAACATCGTAAAATTACTAAATAAAACCCGCACACAATAACGCGTATCAAACTAATCTACGTGCTATCCCTTTGAACTAGACTTTAACCAACCATCTATTTAGTACCTTAAACCCATATGGACAAAGTAAACCTTTTGACCTACATTCTAGGCTTTAGACACTCTAGGTGCAATGCCAGAAATATCTCAAACGTCTGTGAAACTCCCCACGCTAGACATTTCTCAGGCAATATTGGACTCAACTTCTCTATCCTCTCTAGCTGAAGCCTTCAAAACATGGGGCTTCTTCCACATCACCAATCACGGGATCTAAAGATCTTTTCAGAAAACTATATTCTCTGTCAAATGACCTTTTCAGCCTCCCTTTTGATACCAAACTCAAACTTGGCCCTTTGTCTTCTGCCAAAACTTATACCCCCACTTCATAGCCTCTCCCTTCTTTGAAAGCCTCAGAGTTTCTGGTCCCAAGTTCTTTGATTCTGCTCAAACTTCTGCGCACGTTCTCTATGACCAACACAACTCTGAATTCAGGTATTATAACTGTATCTATGTACTCTGTGTTTGTGTATATATATAAGACTATATATATATATATATATATATATATTCTATAAAGATGTTTCTGTTTACCTTTTCTTTATGTAATTTCTCTTCATCCTAATTATCTTGAGGTCAGAAAGGGAGTTGTAATTCAAAGTTAAAAAGCGCTCACTCCTGCATCCGAGGTCCTATGTTTGATTTTCCCTTTGATGCAATGTGGCTTGTATCGAAAGAAATTTTGCTTGAGGTTATATATTTTTTTTTTTTTTTTTTGATCATTTATTTCTTTCTACTAGTGAAATATTACAGGAATATGGGAGCAAGATGGCAGAACTATCAAAGAAAATCGTAAAGATTGCTTTGATGAGCTTGGGGGAAGGATTGGAGAAGAAACATTACGAATCCGAATTCAAAAAGTGCCATGGTTACTTGAGAGTGAACAACTACTCAACCCCTCCAGAAAGTTTGGAAGATCAACATCAAGAAGTTGGACTTGGAATGCACACTGACATGAGCTGTGTGACGATTGTGTACCAAGACGAAATCGGAGGGCTTCAAGTGAGATCAAGGGAGGGAAAGTGGATGGACATAACTCCATGTGAGGGGACCTTGGTGGTGAACGTAGGAGACATGTTTCAAGCTTGGAGCAATGAGAATGAGAATTTGAGGTCATCAGAACATAGAGTCATTTTAAAGCAGCCAAAAAATGGCTTTTCGATGGCCTTTTTTTGGTGTTTCGAGGATGAGAAGGTGATTTTTGCACCAGAAGATGTGGTGGGAGAAGGTAACGAGAGGATCTACAAGCCATTTGTTTGCTTGGATTATTTGAAGTTCAGAGAGAGCAATGAGAGAGGGAAGTTTGAAAAAGTTGGGTTTACTGTAAGGGATTTTACTGGGATTAATCACCAAATTACCAAAAGTGACAGTTAAAAACGAATTGAAAGTCTCTTGTAATAAATTTAGCAAAATTAGGAATTGTATTATATGATAATCTGGCTTTAAAATTGTAATGGTTGTGATTAAATTTGTATGTACCAGTGTGCTTGTGCTTATTAGCATTATTTTCACACTAGTCCTTGTATTTTATCATTATTGTCCTTAATATAAGCATGTTTATTTTTCTATAATTCCAAACAATTATTCGTTTCATCTTGGAAAATTTATGGAAAAATGTATTTTCATGTCATAGACATCTTATCTATTCTACTTGTTTGGTCATGTTTCACTCGATTTGCATTCCTCGATTTCTTTCTATTTCTCGCCTCAAGTGATAAATGACGTAGATGTTACTCTCTTTCGCCTATCACTTTTTGTTTCTTTGAAGAATTAGCTGAAAGAATTATTTAATTTTGAAAACGTGAAGATGGTGGGCAATTGGCAACTTGGCATTGCCTTGCCAATGCATTCCAAATAAAGTAATCCAACTCCAACTTACAAATTCAATGATGCAACTACTGTTGATTGGCGAACACTTTATCTTGAATTCTATGTCTAGAAATTGAAGGAGATCCCAAAATTGTTATATATGTTGTGCTCAGAAGGTGTTAGAAATTCATGGGACATGGCCTTCCTTTCATCTAATTTTTTTTTTTTTTTTATGTCAATAAATATATGCAAATTGGAATCATGCTACACAATATTCACGAAAATTCCATGGTTCTTCGGAAATGAAGAGAAAAACTTACTACTTTATTAAAATCACATATGATACTAGACAAGTTACATTGGAATTTGGATGTTCCATTTGTCCATCACATTCACATGAACAAAGTTACTACTACTGAAGCTTATTATCCAATGATAAGGTTAAACGGTAAAACTGGGGAATGCATGTTACGAACGAGACCAAACAGCCCCAGTTACTGCTACAGATTTTTCATCAAGCAGCTACATTACTCTTCCTGCATAGAAATCCTACAACTACAACATTAGCTTTGTCCGGCTTCTCAGCACTTACCAGCAATTTTCCAAAGCGCCTGCTTAATCATCCCCACTGGTGAAATCGCCGCTCCTCGAAACTGAAACCAACTCAGAAAGAGAACAGTTAATGTAGCAGCATCAGAATGTTTGAATATGAAAGCAAACCAACAAAAGAATTCAAATCGAATGGAGGACTTATTGACATTGGATTGACTAATAATGTGGATGATTCAGGACGGGCATTTAGGTCACCGGATATGTTGTAGAGCCGGTTAGAATGCAACTACTAGTTCCATCAATCGTATTGTATTACACCAGAAGGCTCAGAAGTACAAACCTTTGATTTAAGGCTCAACATGAGAACACCGTCAAGGATGGATGATTGGACCGAGTGTGCATCTAAGTACAGATTGTTAATGGCATCCATTATATCAAGCAAGATATATTCCCGGTAAGGGCATCTCATCTCTATCAGAACCTCTTGCTCGTTTACGCACACTTTCACATCTAGTGGCAAGCTTTCTCCGGAAACAAGCATATTGGGATAGGGGTCAGTTTTGTCAATGTCACAGGCCTTTCTCTTCTTTACTAAAGACTTTTTCACATTGTTCATCTTTGTTTTATCATAGTTATCTGATGTCTTCTCTACCCTGTTCAGGAATTTCCCTCTAGAAATAGCTTCCACGGTGTCCATGCAGGATTCCATCTCTTCTGCTCGTGCCTCAAGCTCTTTCAAGTACTTGATCGTATCATCAAGGATATCAACCTAAAAAGAAAATTCAGTAAATTCAAATTACGGAAAGTATGTTATTACAAAATAGTACATGACAGAACATGAAATTTTTAGTCAAAATAAATGTAAAGATGGTTTTCAACACAGGCATCTAAAGTTACCTCAGTGATAGAAGGAACCATCGACCTGAGGACCAACAATTTTTCGTTCTCTCTCCTTTTTTCATGTTCCCTGTTAATATCGTCACCTTGCAAATTTGGGAGCAAATCTTTTCCCGTATTTTCTTTACCGGTTGCCATACGAGAGCGAACACCATACATTAAAGGAACTGTGAACAAAATCTTCTTTAATGTCTTCTGATGTCCTGTTGACCTACAACTACGAACAACTTCTTTCTTCCATTTCACAAAACTGGATTTGCTCTCTCCGTCGCAAAAACATGGATTTTCAATCAGCCTCATTGAGCTTCCTAGAAGAGTAGAAAGAGTTCTTTTGTAGTGTACATGTTCATCAACAGATCCAAGATACAAAGAACTTAGTTTTGCGTCATTGAAGTTTTGAAGTTCCTTTAAATGGATATGGTTCACATTCTCGCGTTCAGCAAAAGAGTGAGCCTTTCCTTGATTAACAAAAGCTTCAGATATGGAGTCACTAGAATTCATGGAATCTTGAACGCCGCTGCCGAAGTCTTCATCCATGAAATGCCAACTCTGAACCTGAGAATCCACAGCATTGGTACCTTCAAGCATTTTGTAGTCTTCTGTCTGATGATTGTGATCACAACCATTAGAACATTCATCAGAAGAGTCCATGTTGACCTCTTCATGGATATCAATGTTCTCTATATCTATCGATATTTCTATAAGTTTGCATATTGATATATTCATTGATATTAATATCGATATTCAATATATCCATCGATATTTCCATAAATTTACATATCGATATTTTAAACGTTGGGTATAATTAAATTAATGGTCAAGTGAAGAGTTTCACACTGAATACTTCTTTGACAATTAAATGGGAATGATGGTGCAATTTCCTAAATGCAAAACAAAGGCCACTAGTAGCTCAAAGTTGCTTACTTTTTCTGGAAAATAACAATTAAAAAAAGGCAATTGGCTAAGATGATGAAAAATTAAATTTTAATTGTCAAAATGGTTAGGTGTCTTTATACACAATTTATATCACCTTCATAGACTCACCACCCATCATTTTTTTTTTAAGTTAAAAGTTCAGCACTTTGATTTATAGAATCATTAGAACAGCCAATCTGCCTAAAGAAAAATGGTCTGCTAGATTTTCAAATTGTCCTCATTTGCATGAATTGTTCATCATGGATTCATAGAAAGAAAAAAAAAACTACAAAAGATATTGGCCCTTAGCTGGTAATTATTCTACTTTATCCCTTCTTTTGATATTTGGCCATTGTAGATGTCTAGATTAATTACTAAAAAGTAAAAACTAGTCATCGTGGATTGCCCTAATTTTGTGCCCAATGTGTGACTCATCGGCTCGCTCGTTTTGTTTTGTCTAATATTTTAATTTGTTTAGTTTGAAGTGCCTTCTGATTTTATTAGGACGTTCTTATTAGCGAATGCTTCCAGTCAATATATATATATATATATATATATATATATATATATACATATATATATATATATATCTTTCTTTCAGTTGTTTTCTAATTTCATTATCTAAATAAAGTTTTTTCCCGTACCGTGAAGGCTAAAAAGATAAACTAAGTGACATGCCTCTTTGGATTTTTTTTTTTCTCTGCGGAAAACTAGAGTGGCAGACATGCAATGATACTTTATATACATAATGTTACACATGATGTCCATTAATTCTTCTAAACCAATGTATAGGTTTCACGTGATGTTCTATCTTCTTCTACTACATATGCTTTGCTGGTCAAAAACGTTTTCCAGGAATAACTATATATAATTAGGGTTTTAGATTATATAGAGAACCCAGAAGCCATGCATAACATGCTAACAAAATTTAAGAAAGTGCATACATATGACCTGGATACCTACCTACAGCCTGCACTCTTGGCTCTTAATTTGTGACTGCAAATTAAATTATTTAATTAGCTTCCTTGAACCGACTGACTTAAGAGTGCTTCAAATAAAAACAAAAATTTAGACTTAAATTTCAAGTCAATATACTCACACATAGGCCTGACAATTTCTGACACGATCCGATAACCCGACACGACACGACACGAAATTAACAGGTGTTTGGGTCGACACGATAACGAATCGAGTCTTATCGGGTAACCCGATAAGCACCTGTTAAGATAACGGGTTGGTTCGGGTATACACGTGGGTAACATGATACACGATAAGCATAATATTATTTTTATAATTTTATAACCCTAAAAAAATACTGTAATAATTATATACATTAATTTTACAATTTTATACCCCTAAAAATTATAATAAATATATATATATATATTAAATTAACTATAAAATTTATAATAATTATAATAATTATATATACTATAATAATTATACCCCCAAAATATTAAGTCTATCTATAATAATTATATATATATATATTAAATTTTATAAAAACTATAATAATTAATAATTAATAATTTAATATGCATGATCATGCATTGCATATTTGCATGATTTTGCATCCATTGAAATTTGATGCGTCAGATGTGATTTGTTTCCATTCAAATTTCAATAATCAATTTTTTGCCATTGCCATTTGCCAACTTGCCGCCCTTTTTGAAAAAAAAAATGGAGGGAAAATGAAAATGTTAAGAAAAGTTGAAAATAAAACAAAAAAGTGAGGGAATTAGAGAAAGATGTTGGAGGGAAAAGTGAAAATGATAAGAAAAAGTTGAAAAGGTAACAAAAAGAGAGGGAAAAATGAAAATTAATAGAAGCGGTGAGAAATTTTTTTTTTTTTTTTTAAGTTATTAACTTTTTATCACACACATGACTGTCATGACATATCTCACTATTTAACGGTTATTTTAACTCCGATTTTGATGATTTTTTATAACTACACTCCTTGACCCTATATGAATACAATAAATGAATTCAATCTTCAATTTAAAATATTTACACAAGTGGATACCACAAAATCTTATGTTATACTTAATGAAAGTATAAATAAACTCTAAGTGTTAGTCAATCTATCGTTTTACGAATTCTCCAAAACTAATTTCAACGATCCAAACCATCAAAATTGTTTGTATATGCTTGGAGATCACATCAGCAAAAAATCACAAAAAAAAAAACATTCAGAGATCAAGTAACGGGACAAAGCTTTTCAACGGTTATAAACGAAAAATCACGATTTAATGGTTATTTTAACTCCGATTTTGATGATTTTTTATAACTACACTCATTGACCCTATATGAATACAATGAATAAATTTGATCTTCAATTTAAAATATTTACACAAGTGGATACCACAAAATCTTATGTTATACTTAATGAAAGTATAAATAAACTCTAAGTGTTAGTCAAGCTATCGTTTTACGAATTCTCCAAAACTAATTTCAACGATCCAAACCGTCAAAATTGTTTGTATATGCTTGGAGATCATATCAGCAAAAATTCACCAAAAAAAAACATTCAGAGATCAAGTAACGGGACAAAACTTTTCAACGGTTATAAACGAAAAATCACGATTTAACGGTTATTTTAACTCCGATTTTGATGATTTTTTATAACTACACTCCTTGACCCTATATGAATACAATGAATGAATTCGATCTTCAATTTAAAATATTTACACAAGTGGATACCACAAAATCTTATGTTATACTTAATGAAAGTATAAATAAACTCTAAGTGTTAGTCAATCTATCGTTTTACGAATTCTCCAAAACTAATTTCAACGATCCAAACCGTCAAAATTGTTTGTATATGCTTGGAGATCATATCAGCAAAAAATCACAAAAAAAAACATTTAGAGATCAAGTAACGGGACAAAGCTTTTCAACGGTTATAAACGAAAAATCACGATTTAACGGTTATTTTAACTCCGATTTTGATGATTTTTTATAACTACACTCCTTGACCCTATATGAATACAATGAATGAATTCGATCTTCAATTTAAAATATTTACACAAGTGAATACCACAAAATCTTATGTTATACTTAATAAAAGTATAAATAAACTCTAAGTGTTAGTCAATCTATCGTTTTACGAATTCTCCAAAACTAATTTCAACGATCCAAACCGTCAAAATTGTTTGTATATGCTTGGAGATCACATCAGCAAAAAATCACAAAAAAAAAACATTTAGAGATCAAGTAACGGGACAAAGCTTTTCAACGGTTATAAACGAAAAATCACGATTTAACGGTTATTTTAACTCCGATTTTGATGATTTTTTATAACTACACTCCTTGACCCTATATGAATACAATGAATGAATTCGATCTTCAATTTAAAATATTTACACAAGTGGATACCACAAAATCTTATGTTATACTTAATGAAAGTATAAATAAACTCTAAGTGTTAGTCAATCTATCGTTTTACGAATTCTCCAAAACTAATTTCAACGATCCAAACCGTCAAAATTGTTTGTATATGCTTGGAGATCATATCAGCAAAAACTCACAAAAAAAAAAACATTCAGAGATCAAGTAACGGGACAAAGCTTTTCAACGGTTATAAACAAAAAATCACGATTTAACGGTTATTTTAACTCCGATTTTGATGATTTTTTTATAACTACACTCCTTGACCCTATATGAATACAATGAATGAATTCGATCTTCAATTTAAAATATTTACACAAGTGAATACCACAAAATCTTATGTTATACTTAATAAAAGTATAAATAAACTCTAAGTGTTAGTCAATCTATCATTTTACGAATTTTCCAAAACTAATTTCAACGATCCAAACCGTCAAAATTGTTTGTATATGCTTGGAGATCACATCAGCAAAAAATGACAAAAAAAAAACATTTAGAGATCAAGTAACGGGACAAAGCTTTTCAACGGTTAGAAACGAAAAATCACGATTTAACGGTTATTTTAACTCCGATTTTGATGATGTTTTATAACTACACTCCTTGACCCTATATGAATACAATGAATGAATTTGATCTTCAATTTAAAATATTTACACAAGTGGATACCACAAAATCTTATGTTATACTTAATGAAAGTATAAATAAACTCTAAGTGTTAGTCAATCTATCGTTTTACGAATTCTCCAAAACTAATTTCAACGATCCAAACCGTCAAAATTGTTTGTATATGCTTGGAGATCATATTAGCAAAAAATCACAAAAAAAAAAACATTCAGAGATCAAATAATGGGACAAAGCTTTTCAACGGTTATAAATGAAAAATCACGATTTAACGGTTATTTTAACTCCGATTTTGATGATTTTTTATAACTACACTCCTTGACCCTATATGAATACAATGAATGAATTCGATCTTCAATTTAAAATATTTACACAAGTGAATACCACAAAATCTTATCTTAAAAACAAAAACTCTTTATCCTTGCACATTTAATATTTGTAATAGATTAGTAGTGTATGTATTATTTTTTTATTAGGCTTTTATTTTTGAGTGTAGATATAGTACTTGAACGAGAAATGTTTTAATGTTTTGAAGTAATATTTACGTGGCAATGTGTGGTATGTGCAAATTTAAAAAAAATATATTTTTTTCTTAACGGGTCATAACGGGTGTGACACGACACGACCCGTTAAGATAACAGGTGTTACACGAAAACGACACGAACACGATAGACACGACCCGTTTGCCAGGCCTACTCACACATGATGTCTACGGTTGATTTTTGGAATTACATACAACT